AACATTGTTCTATAAAAAGTATATTTTATTATACATTACGCAATATAGATGTAAAAAAACACGATTTCTGCAACATTGTTGGTGTATTTTTTTATTATTCTTTTATACTTTGTAAGGGATTTGATTACTTTGAAAAGAAGAAATAAATCAATAATCAGCAAACAAAATAATTATTATCTCCATTTGATAACAAACTAAATCGAATTACGTATCTGTATCTTACGTAATTGTATATACAATTATTTTTTAACTCAATTATAATTATGTTGGAAAAAGTTATATATAAATCACTTCAGATTCCTGTAACTTATAAATTAAGATTACCATATTTCTTATTTAATTTAAATTAGGGCACAAATTCGATTCGGCTCCATAATGTATTTTTATTACGGTCACCGCGATTTCATGCACTTGACCATTCTTGTCGGTTAGTAGGTTGGACTTCCGGTTAAGAATTAGGGCGCACGATATCGCTCCAAGTCAATCAAAATACCCTTTATTAGACATTCAGGGCAAAACCTGTTAACCTTCGGATTTCTTGATAAGCGGAAAAATAGATTACATATAATCAATGAAACCACCTAATTATTTAAACACTGAAACTATTAACAAAACAAATAATTAAAAAATAATAATAGTAAAATAAGTAATTCTCTGACGTTAAAATGAGCAAAAATTTCAGTCGACGACACGAAGCTTTGCGTTTCGATACTTGAAAAGTGAAAACTTAGGGAGAAGCTCGCTTCACTCGCTTTGGGGTAAAAATTCTTAAGACGAATACATTTCAGTCACGCACAAGTTAAAACGAGAAATAACTTTGCGAGAAGGGCGACAGGAAACACAACGATACTTCGAAGGAACGGCATAATTGAAATTCCGAAGCGAACTGCTTCAAATTTTCGTTACGAATCCGAGACGGAGTAAAATTAAAAAGAACGAAGCACCGCATAATCTTCGCTGATGGCACGACACGTGTTGCGACAAGTTTGCACCTTTATTCAAAATAGGAATTTCGAAATTAATATTCCGCACGCGAAGGACGATTAGTTTTCACACGCCCCAATATCGGATTCATTACAATATAAATAGGAATCAGGGCGAGGATCAGGGAAAAGCGTATGTTTTGCGGATGTCTAAAATTGGTGGCGGAGCCTATGGTAAAATAACGACGGGAATAATTTCGGAAAGGATATGTGTCGAAGTGACGAACACTTCCGTATAAATAATTCATACTGTAATAACACAACCAAGCTAAGTTATTATATTTTGATATGTTTAAGTTATTTTTAGTTAAAAATTATGAAGATAATTTTTTTTACTTACTTTTAAAATGTACCAAAACGAAAAACACATAAAAATACACAAATTTAAAACTATGGGGCACATAAATACACAAATCCAAAAAAACATCAAAGTTAATCTCATGGTGGATTTATTGGCTCAAAACTCGCACTATGATAAAGAGGAAATTACCAACTACAAGTGAATAGAAAATAATTATACCTTCCTAGTTTTTTTGTTGTTGTTAGTTTTCGATTATTAAGCACTGCATGTGAACTCGTCATATTTATAACGATTCTCATTAAATTACGTAACCATCAAGGTCTTGTAAAAAACGAATTTTCGATATAAATACAGTAAAATCTCAACATAACAGATCTCGTTAGAATGGATTTCGGATGCAACGGACAAAATATTTTTAAATCATATTTAAATATAGATGTAAGCGCTCCCATGTTATTTCCGCGTTATTTCCCAAGTTGCTCTATTCCATGTTTATAGATAAACTGGGGGTATTCCCCGAGTTATCTATACGATGTATAAATCTAGGACGGTAGTTCTACATTTAATTGTTATTCAGTGCTAAAAGGTTTTTACAAGAGAAAATACCAACAATTAAAAGTCTGATAATAACTCAAGAAAAATTAACTAGTAAAAAACCAACTTACTTGTTTAATGAGGCTAGGGAATGAGCAACGTTTGACTTCATAACAAACTTGTTAAAAATGTTTTTATTTAAAAAAAAAAATTGAAAATTACTAAATTTGTCCATAATAAAATTGAATTAAGAATTACGTTAACAATTTAAAATTTAACACACAACCCTCGGGAAAACAAGATGGACATTACACGTTAAAATAAGTTGTTACAATAAAAAACAGGTTTTTTAAAATACGGCGTATGCTACATGTCAACCACAACGCAAACTCCAACAATTGGAAGATAACCAGCGGGAAATTTAAAATTTAAAATTAAGCAACAATGTAAATTGAACAAATTTGCAACAAAAAACCAAAATTATATTGACAAAAGTTAATGAAATTAAAGATTTAATTTAGATTCAAAATCGACTTATAAATAAACAGAAAAACTTTATAAATTTCAATCAAAACATCATGTCAGTAGAAAAATTAAAGTTGTCAATACTGTTATTGTGTTGATCCGAGTCACTATGGTGTTGGTTGGAATTATCCTTAGCAAACAAATATGCATATATGTTGCTGAGATTATTTGTATCATTTTTAAAGTTAACCGTGTTTTTGGTGTAGTTGATATTCCAGAAAAAGCCTATTATGATAATTGGGTTCCGAATCAAGAATCTTGACGTTATCAAAATCAAAAGAATGTTTACAGTCAATGACGTGTTGGGGTAGAGCACAACCGGTGTTTGATAATCTACAATCACTTTTATGTTTCGTGACTCTGCTTTTTAGCCATTGTAAAGTTTGTCCAACGTATTTTCCATCACAGTCATTGCATGAAACACAGTAAACAACATTAGACTTTAGTTCCTCAAGGGTCCTGTCCTTTAACTTAGAAAACTGGCTTCCCAGTTTGCTTTCATAACATTCAACGATTTTAACATTCTCAATACATGAAAGAGCCTGTTTTAGTCCGTTACTCAGTTTCTCGATGTAAGGAAGTTTTTTATAAACAGTCGAAACAGTAGTAAGTTGTGAAGGATTATTTAAGCTTACTTCACGCAGCTATTAGCTTAATTAGCTTAATCGGATAACCATTGTTAATAAAATTATTTTTAAGAAACTGTAAATTGTTATGTAAAAATTGGTGGTTGCAAATACTGGTAACTCTGTGTTTCATACAACGAATGGTTTTGTGTTTTATGTGATGATTCGAAAAATAGTTTAAATATCGTCCTGAGTATGTTGGCTTTACATACCAGTCAAACTGAATGTTATTATCAGGATCCCGAATAACTTTAGTGTCAAGGAAGAGTAAGCTGTTGTTAACTTCCCTTTCGATTGTAAATTGAATACTCTGATGAAAATTATTAAAACACGTCAAAATGACATCCACATCCTCCCCATGAACTCCCAAAATCAAATCATCAACATACTTCTTCATAAATTGAATACGAACAGAATTATTTTTAGTCAATATTTCGTCCAGCGCGTAGTCCATCACTATCAATGCTAAAATTGGTGACAATTTTGATCCCATTGGGGTACCTTCAATCTGTTTGTAGATCACATTATCAAAAGTAAACTTAGAGTTCTCAAAAAGTATTTTTAAACCCAATAAAAATGTATCTTTATCCCAACAACAAACTTCAGTTATCTTTCCTCAACAATCCTATTTACCAAATCCAAAGGTATAACAGTAAACAAACTCACAACGTCCAGTGAGATCAGGATATGGTCCCGTTGGAGGCTGTAACCCCTAAACTCTTCCACGAATTGAAAAGTATTCGTAATATTGTAAGTAGTTCTACCACAAAATGCTAGACTCAAAATATCAGCCATGTGTCCCGATAAGCCGTACGATGCAGTGCCAATTGAAGAAATTTTTGAAGTTAACAACTTAATTAACGTGTAATGTCCATCTTGTTTTCCCGAGGGTTGTGTGTTAAATTTTAAATTGTTAACGTAATTCTTAATTCAATTTTATTATGGACAAATTTAGTAATTTTCAATTTTTTTTTTTAAATAAAAAAATTTTAACAAGTTTGTTATGAAGTCAAACGTTGCTCATTCCCTAGCCTCATTAAACAAGTAAGTTGTTTTTTTACTAGTTACTTTTTCTTGAGTTATTATCAGACTTTTAATTGTAGGTATTTTCTCTTGTAAAAACCTTTTAGCATTGAATAGCTCTGAGGAAGATTGAATAAACAATCGAAATATTAGCGCTTTTAGAAAGTTGTTTCATTAATCATCATTTTGACCGTTAAACCCGATAAATTCATCGTTTTTGTTTATTTTTATTGACCTAAACGTGGAACTAACACTAGTCCTAGATCCTAGAACTAAAAACATTCGGGTTTAGCCGTACATCTCTTAAGATGGCTAAACTCGAATATTTCTAATTCTTGGTCTAGTGTTATTTCTAATGCTAGTGTTAGTTCTAGTTTTATTTGTTATATAGCGATAAATGAACCAAAAGTAAAAATAAAACTAAAACTAAAACTAACACTAGAAAGACCCCTACGACGCCTAAGACGGCTAGGTCTAGTGTTAGCTTTAGTACTAGTGTTAGCTCTAGTTTTAGTTGTTATTCAGCTCTAGATAGTTGTGTATTTTTATTGAACTAAATGTAGAACTAACTGATACAAAATGCAACGGTTCGAATTTGTGTGCATTAAAATTTTCCGTTAATCGAGATTTTACTGTATTATTAAGACGAATTATACTCAAAACTTTTCCACTTCACAAAACTTTTAATTGATAAATTACTGCGCTCGAACTAAAAGATTATAATAAATTAATCCACTTTTTTCTCATTTTCTTACTCAAAATTGGGTTAACTAGGTTTAAATTTAACGCGTGCAAATTGGTGTATTGCACCTGACGCGGATATAACGATTTAGTATAGGAATAAATCGCTAGAACTATCTCCACGGAATCTCTTATCTAATTGCAAGGTTAAACACGAATCCGGTTGTAAGGTTAAAAAATTCGGAAAGTTCGAAACTAAACGATTAAAACGTACATGCAATCTAAACTGCCAAACTGAAAATAAAAACGTTTTTTTTGTGTACTTACAATGTATGTAACTTCTTTAATGCAAGGACGAACGTGATTATTTCTCGATTGTAAAGTCTTCATCTTTGAACTCAACACTGATCCAAAAACCTACGTAAGAAATTGAGTTTGAATACTAATCTAAACAAACTCCTTATTTTTGGCAGAGCTTAATGCCTCTATTCTAAGTGGTCGAATTTTTCAGAGACATAAAATTTATTTTCAGAAAACAAAACTAAAAGAAAAAAATGTATGTATCGATAAAATATTTATAAATCAACGAAAAAAAGCAAAAAAAATTAATACTCACCTATTCTGTTCGTAGAAACGCGTTGTTGCGTGTGTGAACTTTCCCATGCGAGATATTTTTTGATTCTACATGAGACGACACGTTGTCGGGTTTTGAGAAACAAACTTACACATACGACCTGATCGTAAGCTTGCGCGAGCTTTTTAGGGCAAGCCACGGGCGCGTCGTGCTTTCGAAAGTGCCGCCTCTGGCCGAAGTCATCGAAACGTGCAAAATATCTGGTGAAATAGGCGCTCGTGTGTGCCAAAGGTCGCACCCTAACATGCGCGCTATTATCCAACAAAGATAACAAGAAAATTATAAACTGAATCAAAAAATTATTCAATTAGAACTTAAAAAAATTATTTTAAATTGAAGGTATTAAATAAAAACTTTGATTAAAATAATTATTACATTTAGTTATTAAACGTATATTCACTTCAATTAGATGATTAATTAATGCTAAATTTAGAATTGGAAAGCACGCAATTAGGGTGTGTTTTGATACTTAGAAACGCACGAAAGCTCTAATATATGCGTTTACGAATACACAATCCAATTAACGATGATAATTTATTGAGCGGCTTTAACTTTAATTGCACTCGATGAATAGTTAAATGAACGATTCTCGGTTTTGTAATCGTTTTCAATTACATGTACGCATTAAAATTACGAACGATGACGCCAACAAGCATTGTGTGCCAAGACTTTTGTGTTTGCGTTAGAATTAGATCCGTTAAACGTACGTGGTGTAAGCGTTCGTTCACTTAGCTCAAGTGTAATGAAAAAATAGGTATGATTCATTTCTCTAATATAGAAGGTGTTGTAAACATGTAAATCCGTTTATACTAAATATATTTTTGAAAATAATAATGTTTACTAGTATAATTGTTATAAAATGTCGGTGATTACAGAAAAATTTGTACTATTTTTGTACTATTTGATTAAAAAAGAATTCATCATTATAGATGAACAATTTTATTAAAAATTTTTAAAATTTCTTAAAATTTTAGTTAACGTTGCGATGAACCTCTGAGTAATTTTACATCAATATACATCATCATGCCTGAAATTCAAAGAAGAAAAAGCACACTTATGAGACTATTGACAAATACCGGCTGTTCCGTTAAGGGTACAGAGCGGCTGTATCTTGACAACCGTAAGGCTCAAAGTTTGTGAAAAAAGCCCTTATAAGCAAAGTGAACAAGAGAAATAGGTGGAACTTGTTTTGAAGTTCGTAATTCGACCGCTAGAGATTCAGAAAGTTCAGTTTTTAATCGGGAAACTTCACTAGGATGTGATACTTGCCAAAATAACACTAGTTGTTTATATAAATGTAGGGTCGCAACTCATTTGTTTTCGAGCTATGAGCTGTCAAAATTGATCCAAAAATTTATATTTTGTTTTGTATTTCGGCTGTAAATAAACCGTAGAATTTGAAACTTTGTACTTAGTTACTATTAGTTAAACTTATTTTCAAACCCGTGCGACGATAGCAACAAACTTTTACCCGTAATTTCCTATCTACTTTCTTAGCTGATATCTTCCTTATAATTAGGGATAGCGAAAAACTAAATGCACCACTTGAAAGCTTGAATCTTTCTCTATCTAAAACCAATATCAACTTATCGGCAGACGAAAACCCGGTTTTAGATAGAGAATGATTCAAGCTTTCAAGTGGTGCATGTAGTTTTTCGCTATCCCTAATTATAAGGAAGATATCAACTAAGAAAGTAGATAGGAAATTACAGGTAAAAGTTTGTTGCTGGGAGGTTTGTTGCTATCGTCGCACGGGTTATTTTCAAGCATACCTTAAACTTCCCTAGCGCCGCTTAAGGGGATGTAATTCACCACATCCTTGATTTTTTTATAAGAACTTTTTAACGCTATGGAATATCAATAAAAAAAATATAAAAAAATATGGGTTGTAAAGCTCATTCTTTAGTGGTACTTTTTTGTCTGTTTAGTATTTTCCTTAAAGTTAATACCCTCCGTGTAAAAATATAAAATACCGTGCCATGTTACCGCCACTAAAATTATTCTAAAAGTTGGCTCTGAGAACTTAAGTTTCATTTACGGTGAATCCTCATAATTATTAATGATTATTAATAATTTTTGACTGTTATTAACCAACAGTATCAATCTTTTAATATTGTTCAATACAACGTAATTTGTTCAGACAGACATTCATCTTATTTATGGTTTTTCTCATGAAAATCACAATTAATTGGTGTTATTTAGTTAATACTACTATCCGTGCAAAAAGTCAAGGACCCTCACTTTAGAGATCGATATCTTCGCAACCGCCCTATAAAAAAATTGCGACAAAGTTTGTTGTAATCACTGAACATTTCTACGTAACATATGTTAATTTGAAAATTTTCGGATCCACGGTTTTCTTTCTATCGCAAGTTAAATGAAAAAAGTACCCGATTTTTTACGGTACCGGCAACTTTGTCAACTTTGCGATATTTTTTCTCGAAAACTATCGTACGAAAAAATTTGAATTTTGAACAGGTGGTAGCCTGATGTGTTCTTAATGAGTGGCATATTTTATTTTTTCGATATTTCATACAGTTTTGCGAAAAATCACGGTTTAGTAAGACGCCGTTATGTCGAAAACGGCTGGGTGGATTTTCTCGCGAATTTTCTGCAGTTTTTCAAAATTAGAGCTCCCTGATTTTTTAAGAGCGATCTAATGGAATTACAAATTAAAGAGAAACAGAAATAAGCTCTGCGGGGTAACGGGGGTTCCGTCCAATCGGAACAGATGATGCGTCCCAGACAAGATGTCGCGCCTTGTTTCTTTATGTAGGTAAGATAAAGGCGCGACGTACTGAATCTTTTCGTCAAATAGTTTTGGAGAAAAAAAATTGCAAAGTAAACAAAATTGCTGGCACTCTCAAAAATCGGGTACTTTTTTCACTTAACTCGCGATAAAAGAAAAACCGGGTACCCGAAAATTTCCAAATTAACATGTGATACGCAGAAATGTTCACTGATTCCAATAAACTTTACCGCAATTTTTTCCATCGAGCAGTTACGAAGATATCGATCTCTAAAGTGAGGGGCCTTGACTTTTTGCACGGATAGTAGATCCTAGTAAGTGCACAACTTCCATAGCCAGCTATAAAGAAAAAAATTATTTTTTTTAATAATAGCAGCGCTTTACGGTACAATGTAGCATATTTTATTTTTTTACGCTAAAACTATTATCTTTAAGGAAAAAACTAAACAGACAAAAACGTACCAACAATGAATAAGCTTTACAACCCATCTTTTTCTATGTTAATATTCCATGGCGTTAAAAAGTTGTTATAAAAAATCAATGGGGTTTGAATTTCATCCCTTTAGAAGGCGCTAGGGAAGTATAAGATATGGTTAAAAATAAGGTATTAACCAGTAGTACATACATACAAAATTTCAAATTCTACGGTTTCCTTATACCCGAAATAAAAAATAAAACGTAAATTTCTGGCTCAACTTTGACTACTCATAGCTCGAAAACAAAAGAGTTTCGACCCTAGGTTTATATAAAAAACTTGTGTTATTTTGGCAAGTACTACGTCCTAGTAGAATTTTCCGATTAAAAACTGAACCACCCTGTATGTCATAACAAGGAAGGGGTGGACAATTCGTTTTCATATGTTTACATTTTAATATGTAAGACGGTTTAGTTTGAAACAAATAAACTAGAGGGCGTTATCTGCAGCGATTACATATTTTTGTGATTTGTGAAAAAAAGTTAAATGGAACGATACTACTTTCACATGAAGAATTAGACTACAATTTTGAAACCTCGGTAAAATAATGCTTTATTATCAACTAAGAAACGATGAAAGTTTAGTTGAAAAAAACAAAACAAAAATTATCATTTTTCAAGAAAAAGCTAGTAGTAGGTTGCATCCTCACGCGCAGCTAAGCATGTATTATCTCTTCTACCCATGCTCGCTATTAACTGGTCGATGTCCTGGGGTATCTCGTTCCATGCAACCTCTAGATGGTGTCGACGTTCATCCAGATTCTCAGGAAGCCTGGATACTTGTCTTAGTCGCCGACCCATCATATCCCAGACATGTTCAATCGGCGGCAAGTCGAGGAACCTTCTTGTAACCTCAGCAGTCTGCAACGTCTGCATAAAAGGTACTAACACCGGTTCCAGAACGTTTTCGATGTAACGATGTGCGTTTAATATCGCCCGCGAAACCGTAACCCCAGGTGTTAAGGGTGTGTGTCGTCTTTGAACGAACTCCAAATTCCGTCTTTCCCCTCGATGTCGTCGCACCCTTCTACGACCACCATTCACCCATAAACAAAACCTTGATGCATCACTGAAGACGATGTGATTCCATTGATGGTGGGTTTATCAATGGAATGACATCGTCTTTCATCCTTGCCGTTCTTGACACTATGCAAGTCTGGCTGCTTTATGGGGAGGTGTTAATGGAAGCCGAAGGTAAGGTTAATGGAACGGTATTAATAAAGCCCAAAGGAAGAATTTCTCTTGTAAACAGTTGCCATCGACAAGTGTCGGTTCAAAGCTCTCATCCAATCCACAGCAATCGATCTTGTTTGAAATCGATCCCTGGTAGCCATCCGCCTAAGGAGTCGGTCTTCACGTGCGTTGCTTCTTCGGGTGAGTCTTCCAGCAGGACGGCGTCTCTGAATACTATTCTTTGGACCATAAAGACCATATCCGAGCAACTGTAATGTGGTCCCGATTCAGAATTCTCCCAATCTCTGGGAATGAGAGACCTGCTTCTTTCATACCGATAATTCGGCCCCTATCAAAGTCATTGATATGGAAAAATTTAAACGACGTCGCACTGGGGGCATTACAAGGCGTCTACTTGACAGTTTAACAATCAAATAAACGGACAGTTTGTGGGCAGAAATTCATTAATGCTAGGAAGAAAATATTAAAGTTGGAGCTAACAATGGTACAGGAAACATAACAGTTGAGTTTCTTCGGTAGGAACTTTCATCGTTTCGTAGTAGATAATAAAGCATTATTTTACCGAAGTTTCGAAATTGTAGTTTGAATTTTAGTGAGTGGTGTATTTGGTGGAGTGCTACCCAATATGGATTGCAAAGTAACATATTTACAGTTTGTACTAATGAGAATCGCTCAAATTTTATTTATGTTACCAAAAACGGATTGATAGTTTAGATAACGATATTTTGTTAAAGAGGGAAATCGATGGTCCCGGTGGGGGAATGGTCGATACACCGTCATATCAATTGAAATTGCTCCATTATAATATTG